GCAGCGGTGTCGGCGGCAGCGGCGCAGACTCCCACTAGCCCCAGTACCGCCCAAGACCCGAGGTTCTCCGCCCCCGTCAGGCCCGCCCCTTTGAGGCCCCTCCTCTCAGCCCTCCCCCTGCTCCTGCCCAGCCCCCTCCCGCTCAGCTGCCCCCCTCTTCTGTCCCTCCTCCCCGGGCCGTCAAGGCTGAGAGAGCAGCGCGAGTCGCCGAGGGGGCCGGGCTAGGGCGCGAGACGCCTGGAACCCGGAGAGCTAGGGTGGGGGAAGGGAAGACAATGCGGTAAAGATTGTTCGCGCAGTACCATTTCCTTCGGCTGGCCCCTCCAGGGTCGTGCTACAGCCAGAAATCCTGTTCCATGCCCCTCAGCTCAAGACTGGGACGAGGGCAGAGGGGGCTCTAGGACGGGGAAGGGAGACCCGAGGAGAACTAGCACACCACGCCGAAGGGGCTGGGCAGCAAGGACTGGCGGGGTGTGTGGCCATGACAGGGTTAATCGCGTGAACTGCAGCCGCGTCGCTCATAGTTTGACTGGAGCCGCTGTTTTTGTTCCATTGTGAACCGTGGCCCCGCCGACGAGAACCCGGATGATGACGTCACCAGCCTCCCCCTTTTCCGGGATCGTAGGGGGAGGGGCGCGGAAAGATGAGATCCTGAGACCACGCGCTGGGCGGTCGCCGCCCCGGTGCCTGGAGGTCCCGGCGGCGCAGCTGACCCGCGTCACGTGACGCACGAGCTGGCCGAGCCTCTGGGCTGCGGGGGCGCGAGGTCCCGAGGGCCTGGCCACCTGCTCGGCGCCGATAGGGGGAGGGTGTGGCTATCTCCCGCAGCGGAAGGAGGGGGCGTGGGGAATGAGGGCCTTTTCCCCACCCCGCGAGGGAGGTGCTCTGAGAAACTCTTTCACACGGTCCTGCAGCATCAGTACCTCAAACCGTTTAGGCGTCCTCACAGCCTAACTGACGGGACCGACCACCTTTTTGGCCATAGGAGCCCTTCAAACACACCAGCAAATAAAAAAATTATAAAGTGCCCCAGACGGCTTAACGAATAGGCATACTGGATGTGGGAAGATTAGCCTCCATTGCCAGATCATCAGCACGATTCGGTGTTAAAACCCGGAAGGAACTTATGAACCCATCCGCTGTGTCATGGACTATTTTCTACATGTTTATATTCCAAAGTACAGGCATAGGAAAAACTTATCAGGCTAATGTCAAATTAATGGGGTGCTTGGAACAATTCTATACAGTCTACCTAGGAAATGAAGAGGAAATTAACAGTTCCTAATTTACAGATTTCCTTTTGACTTAAAAAATGCCTGCGGACATCAAATGGCCTGCAAAATCATAGTAAAGCCTTACAAAACGAGATCTATTAAATTTTATAGAGAACAGGGTTGAATTTAGTTATGATTATATCAGTTTGTAATGAAAGACTTAAAAATGGAACCAAACTAATTTAGATGACAGTGAAAGCAAGTTACTGGTATCTTAAATTTTTAAACCATTTATTTAGCACTAGACTGTTTACAAATGTTTCACCACAAAATTATCTAATAGGGTATCCAAGATACATCATTCATAGCCCTAATAACTCTTAGCATATGTTACCTTGTTTTTATAATTATTTCCATGAATCATTTGCTTCCCCACTAGCTTATGAGCTCCTAAAAAGTAGACATGACCACCCATGTACACTGTAGGCTGCTATCTTCGATTTTAGATAAGGAAACAGAAAGGGTAAACGTTGCCCAACGTCAGGATTGGAAAGTGTTGAACGCTGGTCTTACCAAAAATTCACCTTTAACAAGGATGTCTCCTCTCACCAATTTTGTTCAACATTGTACTTGCAGTTCTAGCCAGGGCCTGAAAAAGAAATGAAAGGCATCCAGATAAGAAAGGAACAATTAAACTATCTCTACTTGCACATGACATGATTTCATATACAGAAAATGTTGGGAAATCCACTATCAAAAAAACTAATAAAGCTAATAAGCAAGTTCAGCAAGACTGCAGGATATAAGATCAATATTTAAACATCAGTTATAGTTTTACACACTAGCAATAAACAATCTGAAAATTAAGTTAAAATTCCATTTACAATAGCATCAAAATCAATAAAGTTAAAAATTGATTTAACTAAAATGCAAGATTTGTACATTGAAAACTACAGAATATCATTGAAAAACATTAAAGACTAAAACAAATGAAAAAAAGCCTATATTCAAGGATTAAAAGACATAATACTATTAAGATAGCAATATTCCTCAAATTGATCTACAGAGTCAATGCAATCACTATCAAAATCCCAGCAGGCTTTTTTTTTTTTTTTTTTTTGGTGGAAATTGACAAGATGATGCTGAAATTCATACAGATAAGGAACTCCCCCCCAACTACCCTACTAGCCGAAACAATCTTGAAAAAGGAGAACAATGTTGGTAGGACTCCTACTTCCTGATTTCAAAACTTATTGTGAAACTATACTGTGTAAGGACAGGTATATACACCAGTGGGATAGAATAAGGAGCTCATAAATAACCCTTAACATATATGGTCAGCTGATTTTCAACAAGGGTGCCATGACCAATGAGGGAAAGGACAGTCTTTTCAACAAATGGCGCTGGGAAAACTGGATATATATATGAAACAATGGAGTGGGATCTTTTCCTCACATAACATACAAAAATTAGCTGAAAATGAATCAAAGACCTAACCATAAGAGGTAAAACTACAAAACTCTTAGAAGAAAACATGATGGGGAAGTTCCACAACATTGGATTTGGCAGTAATTTCTTGGATATGACAATAGCACAGGTGGAAAAAATAGATAAATTGGAGTTCAATAAAATTAAAAACTTTTGTGCATCAAACGACACTATCAACGGAGTGAAAAGGCAACCTACAGAATGTGAGAAAATGTTTGCAAATAATATATTTGATATAGGATTAATATCCAGAATATATTTTTAAAAAAACTCCTGCAACTCAACAACAGCAAAAGGAAAAACACAAGTCAAAAATGGGCAAAGGACTTGCAGAGCCATTTCTTCAAAGAATATATGTAAATAGCCAATAAGCACATGAAAAGACACTTAATATCGTAGTCATTAGGGAAATGCAAATAAAACCACAACGGAGATATCACTTCATACCCATTAGAAAGGCTAATAACCAAATAATAATAATAATAATAATAATAACCAGTGTTGGCCAGGATGTGGAGAAATTGGAACCCTCCTACACTGCTGGCAGAAATGTAAAATGATGCAGCTGCTGTGGAAAACAACATGGCAGTTCCTCAAAAAGCATAAAATTACCATATGACCCAGCAATTCCACTCTTAGGTATATACCCAAAAGTGAAAACAGGGACTCTAACAGACACTTGTATACCACCATTCACAGCAGCATTATTCACGATAGTCAAAATGTGGAAACAACCCAAATGTCCACCAACAAATGAATGGATAAACCAAATGTAGTGTATACACACAATTAATTATTCAGGCAGTAAACCACATTGCCATGTATGTACCTATGCAACAATCCTGCATGATCTGCACATGTACCCCAGAACCTAAAGTACAATTAAAAAAAAAAAAAAGAATGAAAATTCTGATACATGCTATAACATGGATGAACCTTGAAAAGATTATGCTAAGTGAAAGAAGCCAGACACAAAGGCCACATATTCTATGGTTCCACTTATATGAGGTACCTAGAGTAGTCAAACTCATAGAGACAGAAAGTAGAATGGAGGCTACCAGGGGCTGGGGGAAAGGGCAATAGGGAGTTGTTTAATGGGTTCAGAATTTCTGCGTGAGATGATGAAAAAGGTTCAAGAAATGCAAAGTCGTGATGGTTGCACAACATTGTAAATGTACTTAATACTACTGAATAGTACTCTTAAAATGGTAAATTCTATGTTATCTGTATTTTGCAATGAAAAAAATGAAGAAGAGAAAATCCAGCCAAATACAATTTCATATGGTTTAGTCTATACATTACACTCCCACCAACAGTTTTAATCTCAACTCTCAAGCCAAGCTCACCACCAACTGATGTCTTGCACTCTATGGAGCTACCCAGAGGGTGCACCTTGGCTCCCAGGGTAGATCTGGCCTACAGGACTGCTCCCTTTTGAGACCGTCCACTTAGTTAATGGGATAGGAAATAAACAGTTTTGAGTTAAAAGAGTAAGTTCATTATCGCAGTGTAACTCCTTAAATTAAAATCCATAGTCCACGTCTTTCTTCCTTTGTTTGGGTTTCTCTTTTCTAACACCTGTCCCTTAGTTTTCAAACTGTAAATTTTTTTAACTTCCTGGTTCTGCTTCATTAGGGCAAAACCTTATTATATTACATTTCCTCATAAAATTTCCCATTGCTCTCTCCCCCAGTCTCCCTCCCCGAGAAATATCTGATAAGTATACTCATTGTTTACCAGCCACTTATCTTAAACAA